ATTTTTATACCTTGTGGCTTTCTCTGTTCAATGATAAAAAGATTTTTCCTGTAGAGCTGATGCTGCAGTCTGGAAAAATCTATAGCCAAAATTTACGCTAGAACCGATAGCATTTTCAGAAAATTAGATTTTGAGAAATATCTGTCATAGCTATGCATTAAACAAACACACAATCAGAATATAGACGCAATCTGTTATCGATTTCTAAACAAATATTTGGTTTAGGAATTTAGGTGTCAGGAGAAAAAAGGAGAAACATTTTTCTAGCCAGTTTTCCGAGAACATGTATTCCGTAAAATTAGTGCCACGGTCATATCCAATTTCCGAATGCTTTCAAACTTCCAGAAATGTTCATCCATTTATGATACATCTGTAGAGTTAGCACACATATGCATAAACACGAAATAGAATACTGAAATCTGAGCTTCTAAAATCATGTTACAAGATACCATAAGAGCTAAGATCTCAGAAGGATCTTGGTTCAAGAATCTTATAAAATTTCACACGATTTTGTAAGATCTTGCAAGACCTTGTGATAAGATCATGTAGAATTTTGCATGAGTAGTGCTACTTGTAGGAAGTATTTCCATGTCAATCAATGTTAGGTTGAGTCAAGTTCAGATTTCAGTATTCTATCCTTTGCCCTCGGCTATTCTCACAGTAACAGTTACAATTTTCACATAACCTTAGTTGACCTAGCCTAGGATGAAGTTGAAATATACATACAGTATACAAAACATACAGAAGTCGAGTTGTGTGTATATTAGAATTTGAATTTCTCGTTTATTGTAATGTGCCATGCTATGACGGATTCAGCCATTTTCATGGTTAAATCGATCTATTTATTAAGCTGAATTCGGTCGTTTCATATTAATGAGATTCTTTGGTTTTCTATGGGTTAGGTCTAGAATATTTTCTTCAAGTTTCCATAATAATGTATTAAACATGTTGACTGTTCCAGTCAATAGGGACTCCTTCTTACGAATAAAAATTGATATAATTTTTCCCCGCAAATTTTATTGAGTCATCTATTTAAGACGTCAGAAATGGATATTTTGCTACCTTCTTACAATCATGCAGCCATTATGACTAATTGTCACTTCTTCTGGAAATTGTGAGCACGCAAATCTTTTTGCTGATCGAATACTTTTCATTCACGAAGTGCTCAAAGTGCTGTAGCCGAAATGGGCGCAGAACTTATGCTAAACTCTTTTTCCAATAATGGGTAATTTTATGACTTGATTTTTGTAGGATTTATTATTTATCTTTTATTTCAATCGTTCCATTAGTGTCGATGAATAAACATCCATTGTAAAAAAAATATTAGAATGCATGGTACCAATTATCAGAAAGATTGACTTTTTCATTCATTTTTTCACATCAAGTTCTAGACAAAAACGCTTGATCTTGCTAAGACCACTCACGCTTTCTCCAGCATTATGCGTCACATCCAGTAAGAAAGATTGCATGCGTCACGTCATTTAAACAGCTGTCAATTTTCGGACAATTTAATCCAAAAGTGAATTCTTTGCATTTGAATTTGAAGGTCGGGCGTTCGTTTCCATTTACTGTGCAGCATTGTTTTGTACTTTGCTTTTTCACTGTTCTATCCTTATCTCTCGCGCTCAACATCCTATACATAAAATTATTTATTGACTGCAAAAATTATGAAAAAAGAAGGCTTGAAACTGAATTACCAAACGTCTGGAACCGTTTAATGACCCCCAAATATCCTGAAAATTCATCAGATCCCTTAAGTCGAAGGGTAAAAAATTGTTCTTTGGCGAACATTTACTATAGAAGCAGTCCGAAAGTCTATAAACACTTATTTTTATAGGCTTTCAGATATGCTCTTTCTAACAGTCGACTTTTTAAAGTTAAAAAGAGACATCTATCTGTGTTCTTCAAGGACCGGGTCCTTAGAAAGCCATTTTAGAACTTTGTAAAGTACATCATTGGAAAGAGCATATCTGAAAACCTTTAAAAAAGGCCTTTCCAGAGTTTCGGACTGCTTCTATAGGTAGCAGGTACGGTAGCATACGGTTCAGGCGTGTTTATGCACATGTATGCTAACTCTACAGATGTATCATAAATGGATGAACATTTCTGGAAGTTTGAAAGCATTCGGAAATTGGATATGACCGTGGCACTAATTTTACGGAATACATGTTCTCGGAAAACTGGCTAGAAAAATGTTTCTCCTTTTTTCTCCTGACACCTAAATTCCTAAACCAAATATTTGTTTAGAAATCGATAACAGATTGCGTCTATATTCTGATTGTGTGTTTGTTTAATGCATAGCTATGACAGATATTTCTCAAAATCTAATTTTCTGAAAATGCTATCGGTTCTAGCGTAAATTTTGGCTATAGATTTTTCCAGACTGCAGCATCAGCTCTACAGGAAAAATCTTTTTATCATTGAACAGAGAAAGCCACAAGGTATAAAAATCACTATTTAACTTACCGAAAAGTCCACTTTCAATTTTTAGCTTTTAGAAAAGCCAAAGATTTGCTCGTCTTAGCGGAAGAACTAGGAGTTGCCCTTCCCGTCAAAGCAAGACTCGATCAGATCAAATCTCTTCTTCCCCATCATCCTGCCTTCAAAAATGTCACTAAATTAGAGCAACTGACAGCAAAATACGGAGTGAAAATCATCTTTGGTCCCAAGTGCTATTGCGAGACAAACCCTATAGAGGGAATGTGGTGCCACATGAAACAGTTTGTACGTAGCCACTCTGATCAAACGTTTCCCACGATGTTCAAATTGATTGACGAATCACGGGACAACTTTAAGGAGAAACAAATTCAACTCAAATTATTTCAGCGATTTTGGAAGACACTCGAGGCGTATAAAGAAGCGAAAACTTATGCAGAAGTTCTGACCTACTTCTTCAGCAATTTATGTTAGCCCGATTGTCATTCCCACAGAAGAATTTCCAATACGAAACTGCAATAGGCCAAGTAACAAAGACGAAGTCACTCTAACAAATAGCACAATATATTTGTGGGGTATCAGAAATATGTGTGCAAAGTCGAAAAACCCCATTGCAATCAGGTACCACGGACCCTGTTTGTAATTATTGCCGCCGTGGAGCTTCTCCTTCTCTCTGTTTAATAAAAAATCCTCAAAAGTAACCCCAAAAAAACTAAAAAAAGGTTGTGTGTGAGTTTTTAGTAAACTTCATCGAATCTGGGTGAGCTCTACGTGCTGAGGAAGAGATAACGTCGGTTTTCAGTCGATCCGACGGCCAACAACCCAGAAATATACTTCAAAATATGAGTAGATACGATCAGGTAGGTTCTTATACTTTATCAATCCTGAAGGCATATAAGAAGATCGACTTCTTTGAAGGGAAAAAATATTTTTGAAAAAAGGCGAGCATATTATTGTAGTCCGTCAAAAGGCGGTTCGAATGGTGTATAATAGTGCCCGTTTATTCAAAACCAGGAAGGAGATAGGTTTGCCCAGCCGAGGTCTCAATCTGGGTCTGATCAAAGTTACTTGAATTTACTAAACTTTTGATGCTTAATTCAAGTAAAATAGAGAGAAAAATTTTTGCGGCCCACAAAGTGGTGAAAATCTTCAATTTGTCGAAACAGGCGGTTTTTTCGTTTTTCAACTTGTTCTGCCGTTCGTTTGACTTAAAAATTTGTGAAGCTCATATTCGTGATCAGCTCGGCGAGCTCTATCCAACCATGTATAATTCGACTAGATTAGTTTTTGTCACGGTACTTTTGAATAATAGCAACAACAATATATCAGATGCTGAACGCAAAAAGGCAGATCATTGGTTTCTTGGTGCCATTGGATTAGCATTAATACCAGGCGACATAGTCGAAAGTACATGGACGGATATTATGGATATTACGGATATTACGGATATAAGCACACGTCATGAAGCTATCGTGTGAGTCTTTGTTCTACTAATAACACTGTTCAGCTTTCATTCTTTCTATGAGTTCAAGTAGTCACACGAGTGAGATATTTTCTATTCTAAAAATATTTTTTCTGAAGACGATCAAACTATGCAGCTGAAAGCAGTTACAAATCTCTGTCCTTCTTTGTTCCACTTGTGAGGCTCTTTCATTGTTCTCTTTTGATAATTCAGGTGTTTGCATAGCAAAGCTTTCACATTTCATGCATACACTAATTAATGATATTAATATACAGCTTGATCCCGGTATGTGAGTGAGACAATGCGAGGAAGCATTTTATGGTAAATAGACAAGCTGGCTTTTGTATCTTATAGAAAATGTATTGAATTTTCTGAAATATTGATTTTCTAAAAAGCCAAAAGTGTTTGAGAACTTTCTATAGCCCGAAAAATTGTTTGAGTTTGTAGAAACTAATTCTTGAGTTTTTAGAGAGTCGACGTATTATTTGATAACTAAACAATTTCGTAGAAATTCAGCACTTTTTTTAGAAAAGAAAATTGTCAAAAAAATGCCCGCGTCTGCTCTAAATTCCTCAAGATATAACTGCATCGGGAACCGTAGACTGATTTGTTTGCTCTGAATATTCTGACTTCATCTGCTGATTTAGAGGCTGTTTTCACTGGATGATAATGCCGGTTAGTACGATACACTAGGTATCTTTTCGATGCCTCATTTCTTCTCCGTTTTTTTTTCGAACGAGTTTCGGATGAAAAAGAAATGTTCTTGTCTTTACTTAATAGGTGTAATGTGGAATCTTCATTTGGAATATTTAGTATAACATAGTGTGATATTTCTATTGGGCGGGTCTCCTACCTCCTACGAGAGTGCCTAACTGGTGGCGTAGGCAACACGATGAGCGTACGTTCGAGGCGATTCTATCGTAGGGCGTGTGGGCTTGCTCATTTCGTGGGTCATGTGACCGCTACTCCGCCAGCAGAGACGCTCTCTGGTCACACGCGCGCGGGATTATCTATCATTAGGGATCGTTTTATTTGGTTTATTAAAATGATTTATTTAAAACGACAACAAGAAATCGTTCGAGATTCTCAAGAACAAATAACATCAACTGGCTTCGATTGAGAATCGTTGAACTCGATGATTCCCCGAGTCGGCGACATAGAGATTACCATGTCCATCGAATGTCAAATTCCGGGGATAGTCCAACGGGTTTACTTGTAGTCCTGCATCTTTTCCACCAACAATGACATTTCCCTGTGTCGCTCCGTTGCACCAACGCATCACTCGATTATTCCCGTAGTCTGCCTTATAGACTGTGCCCAACGGATCGACGCATAACACGCGTTGATGATTCCAGTAGTCTGCACATACCACATAGACTGTGCCTAACGGATCGACGAACACACCTTGAGGATTCGACAATTGCGTCAGAGCATTCCCTTCACCTCGACCACCAGCCACAACAATTCCTTCGTTCGCACCCTTGACCCACTTCATCACACGATGATTCCTCCAGTCCGACACGTAGACAGAATGATCTCGATCGACAAAGACGTAGCAAGGACCGCTGAGTTGATTGAGACGATCACCTCGTCCATTGCCACCTGCCACCACTGTTCCATTCGTCTCTCCTACTCGATATCGTCTCACTTCATGATTTTTCCGATCAGAGACGTAGAGAAATCTCTCATCGTCCATTGTCAAGCTCCAACAATCGATATTCTCGATGATTGTTTCTCCACTTGTTCGACTTCGACGAGACCATCGCATCACTCGTCGGTTCCCTTCGTCGCAGATTATGAGACTATCTGTCTCTTTGTCGACAATCACATCTAATGGTCGATCCAACTGATCAGTTCGATTTCCTTTTCCATTGCCACCGGCCACCACTTGACCACTCGTGGCATCACACTTCCATTCCACAATACGGTGATTATATTCGTCAGCGATCAAGATAGTTTGATCATCATCCACATAGAGACCCGAAGGGTACCCGAGTTGGTTGGATGCATTGCCTTTTCCGTGGCCTCCAGCGATGGTGACACCGTTCTGTGTCCATCTGGCATTGAGAGGAATGTTTGGGAGAGCTGTAGTCGAACAAAAAGGGTGTTCACAAGGTTGCAGTTGTCTCATAAAATATATTTGTGTTTTTTTTGTGTTTCGAGCAATGAGAAACAAATAACACTCTGAAACGATTCTTCAAATGAATTCTCAGTTCAGGTTCGTTTATGGAGTCGAAAAAACTGTTGAAAAACAAGTGTTATTTTTGAAATTCTGTCACCCCGTCGTTTTCTTCTACTGAACGAAACAAGCTTGAATTCTTTTTAGTAAAAGAACTCCAACGTACGAGTAAACTGCAAAATCATTGTACCATGAGTATTTCGCTGCATAAAACCCGTTTCTTGTTTAATCTTTACTATTCGCTGGTGAACAAACAACCATTTTATCTTATTTCAATTTGAAGATATACCTCAAACTGGTGAGTATTTCAAGCGACAGAATTTCAAAAATAACACTCGTTTTTCAACAGCCTTTCGACTCCATAAACGAACCTGAACTGAGAATTCATTTGAAGAATCGTTTCAGAGTGTTCTTTGTTTTTTATTGCTGGAAACACAAAAAAAAAACACAAATATATCTTATGAGACAACAGCATTTCAACATCCTGTTGTTCCAATTGAAGAGGTCTGTTGTCTCTAAACTTCTAAAACACAATTATTTTTCTTGGATTAATAGAGTGAACACATTTTCTTTGTTTAGATCCCTACCAGTCAAGTCACTCTACAGCCATGCCACTGTTCCTGTGTCTAAGAGGACAACGACGCCATTTAAACCACCACCTAAACCCGCGCCAAAAGGTATGCTGCTTTGAATAAGTCAATATTCTTTCATAAAAGAGCGGCTCTCTAAATCCCATAATGCAAGATTTTTTAGATGACATTAATGATAGGTTTGTGTGTGTGTATATATATCAATATTCAGAACTTTTGACTATACGATTTTTTTTTTGATTTTTTGTCTTTTCTTTTTTCTTTAGTTTTTGAGTAGAGAGATATCTTTCATAGTATAGTAAGTGATGTGGAAAAGAGGGATACAAAGGTATTCAAAGCTTAACTGAATCGTCCTGTGTCCAGTATATTATTACTATTCCATTCTATGAGAAAAAGAATGAAAATCTGATGGCAGGCACAAACCATCCTGCATGTGCGATACATCCCTTAATATATCGCACCCGTGATCTAGTGGAAGCGATCAAGGATTACACAATTATCTATCTGAATAACGGAACATTTTGGAGTTTGTAAACAAGACATGTTGGTAATAGTTCTGGTTCCAGTTCTGCGGAATCAGACTCTGTGTATGTGACACATTATCTCTTACAGTGTGAATTGTAGCTACATTCAAAAAGTATTTTAGTTATTTGGAGAACCTCAGCAGTTTTTAATTCTGAAACAGCATCCAGCATGTTGTATTTTAAACACCTATTTTATGATATTTAAATTATTTAACCTCAATCAGGCCGATTTCGGAAGAACGGGAAGGAAAGTAGTTTGATCTTCATAAGTTTTCACAATTGCAACTTGCATTAGATAGCTAGGGGAGAAAGAAAAGTCATCAAAATACAGACCTGGTGCTGAATTTTTCTCTTTATGTGCTGGTTTGACAAACTTCATTGGTGGTTCTACTATTTCTTTTAATTGAATAATATGTAAACCATTATGAGCATCTATTTTACCAATAACTTCAAGATAAGTACCGGGCATAAGTAAACCCCCCCCCCATAATAAAAGCCTCCGGGGCTTCTAAACTGTCCAAGCGTTCAAAACTTTTAGGGGGGGCTTGTATTATGGGGGGGCTACTATTACGACTTTCGTACAAAAATTTTCAGAAAAAAAAGGAGATTTCGAATTTCGATGCTCTTGCCTTCTAACCACGGTAATCTCAATTAATCTGAAAAAAGTCTTTTTCGAGATAAAAAATGTAAATTTTATTCGTTTCCTTTTTTCCTTTTCTTCATTAATTATCATAAAAACAAGTCTTTCTCTTAGTCCATAAGTCGAACGAAATGAGGACATAAAAAGATATGTTCTGCAAAGAACATGTTCATTTCTTATAAATATGTCGGTAGTCTTTCGTCCCATCTCCACACTGACTGGCTTCTACTAATTTCGGTGTTCGCTTCCATCATCGATCGTTTGTTCCTGAATGAGATTAATGAACTATTTCCTCCAGACCTGTTCAGCATTGATCGAATGTGTCGTTTAAAAAATTCAAATTATTTTTCCGACGTAACAGAAGCCCTTGGGCTTCTAATACACCTTCCACATCGATTCCTCCAGAGGGGGCTTCTAATACGGAGGGGCTTCTAATACGGGGGAGGCTTCTATTATGGGGGGGGGTTTACCAGTAATACAAATATTGTATTACTGTTACTGGTAACAGTAATACTGAACAGTATATCTATTACCAGTAAGAGTAATACTAGCAGTATTAGTGTTACCAGTAACAGTAATATATACCTTTTAGTATTACTTTCCTCGGTAATGTAATATATGAGTAACAGTAATACTGCCACCCCTAGTTATGACACTCCATACCCATCCTAAGAGTCCGAATCGATTTTTCATGTTACCTAGATAAGGTAACAAATTGAAATATACTCCTAGAATAATCATGAATAATTTGTACAACGGTGGAACTTCTGAAAAAAATACAAAATAAAGAAGAAAAAAACGATATACTGAAGTTTAAAGAATTGGCTGGAGGAGAAAGTATTCGCTCTTAACTATGTAAAAACTGACCTACATTGTTAAGTATATTTTCGTAATTTAAAGTGCAAATTGAGCTTATAAAAAACTCGAGCGAGTTTGGACGTAAGATAAAATATAGCATCGGCATTACAGCGTGAACACTTCAGCACATTCATACAAAAGGAGACCTACTAGATCTTTCACTACAAACTTTATAAGGTGAAGAACAAGAATACGTGTTGAAATTTGTCGACATAAACTGCCGTTTTGAGAAAGAGAGCAATCATTTCAAAAATGAAAGCCTTTCAAACCAAAATTTCTCGAGTAAACGCCGCTTTTCACTGCCTGAATTCCCGTTACATTAGCGATTTCGAAGCATAGGTTCTGTAAAGAATAGAATTCTGCGCAAACTGAGTAAAACGTTTTGCTTGGAAACCCTTGCAACAGGCCGAGACTTGCAGAACAAGACGATCTCAGTTTATTGCGCTTTTGTCCATGGAATTATTATTATTCAAACCGAAGAGTAAGATAATATTTGTAATCAGCGCGAAAAAGTGAATCAGAAATGTGCTTTTACTATTCTAGGATGTCAAACGTTTTTCGCCGAACCCCGAAAACGGCCATAGCTTTGTGCGAGTTTTGAACGATAAAATTTGACACCACCGCAACTAATAAACGTTGCTCTAATAAAACGTTGCTTTAAAAGTTTTAACGTGAAATAATGGATTATATACGAAATATCGAAGCTATAACGGTTTTATGAAGCTATTCACTTTGCAATGTCGACGCAGTCTTCATTTACGTCGAAGTTCGCTCAAAACGTTTTCATAGCCTCAGTTTTCTAATTAAATTTAGGAAATGCAAAAAAAAGTATAGGATAAGTTTTTTCGCACTACTACAGCTATATGACCATATGCGTGATCAGCTCACAGCCCATCTCCCAACGACGTAACAAAATGGAACTGACACTGTTTTTAGCATACTGTAGACGGACTTGAATAAAACCCTTCACATTCCTGCTGCTCTTTTTGTTTTAGTCCGTGTAGAAAAGATGACTAACCTTTTCCTTGACACATCTGTAATTTAACAAACAGGAATACAGTCCACACTACTATTATAACCGATGGAACCACCATCAACGAAAATCTTGTAACTAACCAAAATAGTGTGCGATAATCTTTATTTGCATATTTTCATCCAGCGTCTTTAATGCACTTCATTTCTAAATTACAGATATACTATTATTACTATCATCAAAAATCTTTCAAAATAACAAACAGCTGGTCACAGCTCCACTTCCACCAAAAACTGAATGGCCTTTGACATTTGTCAAAACAGTTTTTCAGTCCTTTCAGCACGCGTTCGTTAAGCAGAAATTTGTTCGATAAAAACAAAAAACTCGGACTTTGCTCAGAAATCTTAAGAACTTGCTGATCCTAATGAATTACAGTCGGTGAAAGACAGTTTCAGCTCAACTTCCGTCGTTTCAATATTTAATTTGTACAATTCATTGTGCATCGCCAGGCAACTTCGATAAAATTGAAAGATTACCGGATGATACGTATCTCTTCTCTTCTTGAAATGTTCTCAACTAATGAACTATACAATGCAACTGAACTTGGACACCGCCAGATGGGTTAGTATGACATGAGCCGTGATTTTGCAGTTATTACCTTATTACAAAAATTAAAGAAACTACAGTTGAGTTTATTAAATCACGACGAGGAGGTTGAATTTTGTTCTACACTATCAACTTTGGCATCAAAATTTAAAGTGTTTCAATTTAAAAAATGAAAATTCACAAAAGATTATTCATCATCATCAGATCTTGCTCTGAGATGCCAAGACCACGGGTGCAGATAAGTCCAACATCGCGTTTACCAAGGATACAGGAGAATTAGATCTTTCGCCTTAATAACTCGATGCTGGAGTATCTTCTCTAGGCGCTGTTTTACTCGGGCGGTCGCCAGCGACCCGGAACCCCTTTAGTTAAGTTCGCATCGGAGAACCCTGCGAACATAATGTGATTACGTTGATAGATTAATGGGTTTTTCGCTTGTGCATTAAATGGATAAGTGCACTGTATGGACTGTTTATTTCCACCGTTTTCGACTAGTGGACGTTTGAAGAAACAATTTTGAATCTGTCTCACTAACTGTTCCAGAATCAGAACAACTGGCATGAGACAAAGCTGAATACAGAAGAATGATATATAATATTTCGGTGTAGTTAATAATTTTAGGCCTGGACTCATTTTGCTTTCTTGTGTGGTTTTCTGTAATTAAAGTACTTGATGCAGTATTTTCCAGAGACAGAGAATTTCGTAAACCTCTTGTGGAAAATGAGATCGTTAATTAAAACTAAGTTTGTTTATTTTCAAGA